ACGAGCGAATATTACAGCTTTGAATGAAACATACGTACATATACGACACTTATAGAAGGGATATCGTGTAGCTTTGAAAATGCCATATTATTAAAATTATTACCAGATTGAACGAAGAAAATTGCACTAGATTTTGACATTGCTATGATTTTCTGAAGGCCGTTAAAAAACGGCGCGTGACAACCAACATCAGGGGATCGATTGTGTATCTTGAAATGAGATAAAAATTACAAAAATGAGCAAATTCACTAGATATTGGCCAGTAATATTAAAAAATATTCTAGTGAATTTGCTCACTTTTGTAATTTTCACCTTATTCCAAGATATACAGTTGAGGGCCGGATGTCGCGAACATAATTTATCGGGGGTCGATTGTGTATCTTGAAATGAGATAAAAATTACAAAAATGAGCAAATTCGCTAGATATTGGCCAGTAAAATTAAAAATATTCTAGTGAATTTACTCACTTTTGTAATTTTCACCTTATTCCAAGATATACAATTGAGGGATGTCACAAACAACATTTATCTCCTCTAATCCATTTTTAATTGCTCCGAATATTTCGTTATGCCGAGAGTCCGGTTCGCGAGCGCAAAAAATTGCACAATGTGATGCACGTGGCTCTAATGTGCGCGTGGAGACAAATTTCGGTATTACGTCTTGTCAGCGTCGACAATGCGGCGCAAATGGCGAATTGTGCGTAGCGACGGTATACATATATATATACGCACTGATACGCGTTGCAATGACGCGGGCGATATAACGTGTATACGCATCGGAACGTTGAAAAGAGAAAATGCGATCGCGCACAATGGAGCGTCGGCAGACGGGCAACGAGTGTACATGCGGGTGCAGCATAACGCGAGTTTACGGTATCGTAATACGATCTGTATATGCAGTAATACCGGACGGATAAACGGCGAAATAATCGGCGAAATGACCGCCGTATCCCCCCCGCCGCCGAGCATTATAAAATCCCATTGCATTGATATACTGATACAACGGCGCACAATGGCGAGCATAACGCGCTGATGGATGCGTCTTGTCGGCATGTTATTTGTCAGCGCGCGACTGAATTAACAACGAATACGCGCGCTTAGCTCGTAAACCAGTTGCAGTTCAGGCGCAGTCGAGCGAGTTACGGCTTTCCTTCGCGAGCACTTCGCAGAAACAGTTACAGATTTATTTCATTTTATAGAAGATTTAATATATTTTTATTTTATTATATGTATAATATTAATATGTAAATATATTAAATATAATATATAAGTATAATAAAAAATATCGGTAATTTTTTATTGTGTCACGAAATCTATTTCAGAAATTTGTATACCTTCTCCTTAAAGAATTGAATTTTGGTTACTGTTTTTCCTAGAATTTGCGTATTATTTCATAATTATTTCAATGATTACGAATGAACTTGAATTTAAGTTTTTTAAATAAGAATTTGGCGAGAATAAAGCTCTCTTGAATTTGTTGACGGGAAAAAGTACGTAATCTACTATTTTCTCGAATTGTCAATTTAATATTTGAATATAAAACGCGAAACTCTGCCGCATTATATATTGTACACCAATTTAGTTTTTCTCATCGAACTACAGTTATCTCGCGCCCCCATTTGCTGGAAGGAAGGTTCTTTCTCAATCGTCATCAAGAACCGGCTTTCGTTTTTTCACTTATCTAAAGGCATGGCCAAGGCGATACGAAGAAATTGACGGCGGCGCCGCAGATAACCGACCAGGAATTCTGTTTTCAATTCGAACATTAAGATGAAGTGGTAATAATATTACCGATAAAATTTAACTTTATCTAATCTAAACTTTTATTTTCCCGCGAGAAATAGGATACTTTACGTCACACTTGTTTAGATTATTTTTTACAGAACTTAATTGTCATTTTATACAAGATGTATCGGAAAGATATACATCTGCGTGAGTAATTATATAAATATTTTACATTGCGTATCATTAATTGTATTGCATTAACTGAGTATTTTTTTATTTTTATTAAAAACTTGCTGTGCCTGTTGAGCTATTTGAAACAATTAGAATTATTAACAAATGAGAGTTGCGTGAAGAGAAGCACAGGATCCCCACTATAATATAGGCATCAAGAGTAAAGTTATTCTATGAAAATCGCGGGAAGTAGTTATTAAGATAAAACATTGTTCTCGTAATCGCAAGACCAATTTTTGAAATTGCAAGATTTGAAACTGCATTATTACTTCTTATTTATTAAAATTACTTTTGAAATAATTTGATTTCGCGTCTTTATACTCGCTTTTTCAAGTATTGCATATCTGCAGCATATATCTGCATTTCATTTGTATCTCTGAAATGTTTATAAAAGCATCCTCTTGAAAAGCTTTCCCATAGCTTCCGCTGTATTCTCGAATATTATTCTCGCGATCCCGCCGATTTCTGAAAGTAAGAAAGATAAGCGAGAGAACGACTCGCATAGGTTACGCTATGTTACGTTCGCGATTGGTAATCACCGCGATCTGTCGCAGGAGAAACGGCTTAACGTTTGTTGGCGGGGATATCAGCTTTTACGATTATGAGAGGGTTTCTCCGTGTTCTCTTGCGGAATACTGAAGGCTATTCTTGATATGGATATTTGAACAAGTAAAACATTGCACGAGATAAGAATAACAAAAATATACGTCAAGCTTAAGCAAAATAAAAACTATTAAATAATCCAAGTAAGTTTTTAATTTATTCACGCGTTTCCTTTTCGCGAACGAGAAACAATATAGCCTTTTATATTCTTATAGAAAGACGATAACTTCTTTCAAGATTAAATTTAATAAAGCAACGAAAGTGATGCGCACGTATATCAATTATGAAATTCATTTAAGTTTGTATACATTTAATATTACGACGAGCGACGATAACGGTTTAAAAAATGTTTTTCAAAGAAAAAGGAAATTAAACAAGCATGCTTTGAAAAAGTTGCATGTTGTAACAATGGATATATGTATGCATAATTGTTATTAAAGTTAAAAATAAATCGAGATAATGAATTTTTTCTAATTTTATTTGAGACACTCGGTCAATTCAAGTTTTGTTTCAAATTAGTAAGACTTGAATTATTGTCGAGTATTAAGTATTTAAGGCCTTGTCTTTCAAATTCTGATCAGCGAACAATTGGCGAGAACCTCGGCGAGAACTTGAGAAGCAACGGTATTACATTTCACAGAGTAAGTACGTCTTACTTGTAGCACTTTTGCCAAAGTATACGTTGCGCTCTTCCTGTGTATAGCTCGTATATATCTATGCGAGTCGTAATATAAATGCGCATCGAGCGATTTTTTGTAACGACAAGAACCAGAGTTGGCGCGAAGCGACGCGAATAAGACGACAACGCCTCATCGCTAATTATATCCGGAGAAGCAATTACTTTCTTTTCCGTGCTCGATGAACCGCGATAAAAGCTTAACCACATACCGATAAGCTTCCTTGACGAGGAAACGAAAGTGCTCACCGATGCGTGACTTCAAGTGCCATGTCTGTTAAGCACTTTTAAAAAAAAGCTCGGATAACTGTGCGCAGTTCATGGCCCGTAATACTACCGGAAACGGTCGCGATAGAGACGAAGCTGGACAGTTCTAACTGCTAGCTATATTCTCACGAGATGCTCGGAAATGTTTGCGATGCCGTGTTTCGATTGCAGTAAATGTTGATGTCGTGCCGTGCCGCATGTAGAAACGATAATGTAAGTCTGTGATAAAAAATGATAATAAACAAACTAATATATTCACAATGAGTTAAAATTGAAAAAAGAGTGATTATTTGATTAACATCGAGTTTTAAAATTTGCCATTATACATATTATAATAAGGTTTTACGTGTTCTTTTCTATTTTTCTGTTATGTTGCCATACCAAGCAGTTTTTCAAATATTTAAATTTAAACAAGTCTATTTTATTACGATTTTATGAGAAACGATATAATATTTTCATTTTTAAAAATAATAAAGCTTTTGTATTTTTTTCCTGATTTATGAAAAAAAAATCACACTTTCCATATATTATAATCTTATAATATCATTTGACATTTCTAAAATAATTTCTTTAATTTCATAAAGTTTCAGATTCTAAAGGTATTTTGTAAATTACAAACAGACGGTTTACTCGAATTTCATAACGAAATGGGAGTTTGTATGAATTAAATCTACCTAAAAGCCCTCTTAAGGAGAGCGAGAGAGAGAGAGAGAGAGAGAGAGAGAGAGAGAGAGAGAGAAGGAGGGAGTTCTTGCGTCCGCAATTCAGTGTCTGTGTGTATTATGCCATTAATAGACAGAGTCGTATTTCCAACTGGAAATAGAAATTACGCAAATTTGTACTCTCCTCGTCTACTCATTAGTGAAACATGATGGGATCATTACAATGTACTTCACATTATACGAAACTTTAGTATTACGCTTAACTATACCCAGTTACCACAGATATCCCGCGATTTTCATGGAGTAACTTTGATACCTATATTACAGCGGGGATCCTGTGCTTCTCTTCACGCAACTCTCATTTGTTAATAATTTTAATTGTTTCATATAGCTCAACAGGCATAGCAAGTTTTTAATAAAAAAAAAAAAATACTCAGTTAATGCGATACAATTAATGATATACGCAATGTAAAATATTTATATAATTACTGTCTAATTGCAATTATTTCGAAATAGCTATGACGAATGTTAAATTCACCATGTGCGTTTCGATAAAATTATATGTGTATAAAAAATGAAGTAAATTCTAAATTATTTTTTATTTTTTATAAATAAAAATACTTCATAATTCGAATTAATAAAAATAATAGTATTGATGTGATGTAATCAAATATAATTTAAAAACATATATTCTTATCAAATATCGGACAATATTCTCTTTTGAAAATCTGAAATATTTTATACAATTTATACGCATCGTTACATTTACATTATTGCACAGTAATATAAAAATCGCAAGTAACGAATAACAAACCAGTTATTAATAAGTTAACTCACGGTCACTGTCGTCGGCTGATGTCCCCGCGTCTCCTCCTTCTTTTCGCCTTCTTGTTACTCGCCTTTACGGTGCGTTACATTCACTCACGAAAACACGATTTCCGCGATCGCGCGTAACTTTGCACGGCACTCCCAACATTAACCGCACGCGATGCGCACTTCGTTGCATTACGACGGAAGAACATTATACGACTTAGAGACTACGTCTCGTGGTCTCGATAGCCGCGTCTCGTGACGCAATGAACGCTGATCACTGGAGACGCGATGGAGTGAGGATAGCTCGAAAGATCGCGTGGCCAAACTACATGCGCCGGTCGCCGCGGCGATGCCCAACCTCCGCCCCTCCTAATTGCGCTTTTCGTATAATTACCGAATATTAAATACCAAACGCGTTAAATATAAATGGCAAATAAATAGCGCGTTTCACGAGGATGACTATAAATATATATATGTATATCATATCGTGACACGAGGGAAGAGAAACGATTTAAAAATAACTTAAAAATAAATATCGTATCTGCGAAGAACGATATATCGATTACAGGAGAAACGCGCGTTTGTCGTCTGTTCGCGCAAAACATTTCGATGACGGAAATAAATCCCCGTGGGACGCGCCTTTCAGCAAGTGACCGAATTTTACGTTGCGCGCGATCAACTTCACGCACCGCCAGCGGCGCTAACGGATTTACACCCGCAGCTAAACGAATAACGCTTATACATATATATGTATGTACTCGTCGGCTCGCGTTTCAGCAGTCGCTATCTCCGCGTGCAAACGCGAGTAGATACGCGCGAGTTCGAAATCGAGAGAGCGATTGCGGAATAAAAAAAAATCTACTCGTGGAACGTAATATCTGGAACTAGGTATACACACGGTGTCGCTTTGCGGCGACGCTGCGGTACGGCCGTCGTCGCGCGCGATGGACGCATCGATTTGTTTCGATCGAATAAATCTCTCGTGAGGTACACCTCGTGAGGCCTCTCGACGGAATCACCGATGTGCCGATGTGGAACTTACGCCACGTGGGACATTAAACGCGAATTAATTGAAACCGCGCTTACTCAATCGAGCATGTCGCGATACTCGGAATGCTCGGAATCCGTCCGTTTCATGTCCGCGATGTCACACGTGTGCCCGAAAACCTCGGAAGTTTCGAAAATAACGTTAGTAAACAATACTACGCGATACACGACGCGAGTCGAATTAATATAGTTGATTAAGGCGATGAAAATGCATCCTCAAAATTCGGAATTACGCACGTAATATACATTACAAACCTCATGAAATGTTATTTCAACATATACGATCAATAAAAAATCACAACTTCCCATATCTATTAAAGTCCATTTCTGCCAAAGTAGATCAATTTTAATTCTCTGTGTAATTTGATCTTAATTCTTGAAATTAAAAAAAGATAAAAAGTATAAGTTAAATCGAGATAAAATTGAGCTACATTGGAAATGAGCATATAAGACATTCGATCCGGCTCATCCGCGTTTCTAGAAATGAAAAGTAAACGCGAACGATGAATCCTTGACGAGTCGTCGTCTCGATACGATCCGCAAGAATCAAGAATTAATCGAATCGATAATTATTGATAGAGATACTCGCGTCGTCTTGTCGTGGCTCGTTGCGAAATAGAAGCGTCGCGAGAAGTCCGAAGCGCGACGAGAGTTAAATCGACAAAAAAAAGTCCGAAATGCACGATACGAATTCGAGTATATATAATTCCACGCTCTATCGCTTTGAGTATATAGACATGGAGGGGGCATGTAGGCTCGAAAACTGTGTCCAAGATGTGTGCGAGAGAGAAAGGTAGACGAGTAATGTTCGTCCTCTCTGCGCATGCGTCGATCAGACTCGATTCAACAGACAGAAAGGACGAAGTATCGCTCGTATACCTTTCTCTCTCGCACTCCTTGCCACTCTTGGACTCGCTTGCGGCCTGCAGAGAATAAAGGCATTCCACCTCCAGGTATCTATATACTCAAAGTCTATCGTCCCTTTCCTCTTACGCGGATAAATCATACAAAAAACTCGATGTAAATCGCACGATCCAACAAGCAATCGTCGCGACGTACGTACATACACACGCGCGAATATTCGTAGCGACCGGCAGCAGGTTCAATGACCTCAATGTTTATGTTTTGGCTGACGCTCGGCCGCTCGCTCACGTAGGTCACGTGTAACGCGCCACGCGCTGTTGTGTTGACAAAATTTCAGCTGTGTTTACGTTCTTCGTTGTGTGTGCTTGCTCGAGCCCACCGCGTCGCGCCGAGGCAGAAGGGGGGGGAGGACCGGGGCGGGTATCGCGTCACTGTCTCGCGCGAGACGCGATCGCGGCGGAGGAACAGGTTGCGACTGATGCGGGAGCGCTTTTCCTGTACGAATAATTAGCGACTGTTTGATCGACTCGACCGATTGACTTTTTGACGATCAATCAAACGCAAATTTTCGTGGCTGTCAAGTGGGCCCGAGGGTAATTGAAGAACGACATTATACTAACCATTTTGACCGTATACCGAGGATAACAAATAATCTATTTTGTTATCAAAAGAGAAAGGTTAACATTATTTTTCAATTTTCGCAACGTTATATATATGAATACACGTATTTTTAATTTTCACAACGTTTGCTGTATATGTATGTGTACAGCAAACGTTGCAAAAATTGAAAAATAACGTGTAAACTTATTTCACTGTCGATATTGTAAAATAGTGATTTGGTCACGTAAAACGATCGTATTTGTTATCTTCTGCAGTACAGCTATCATGTTAAAATGATCGATAATGTCATCGTTCTTCAATTACCCCCGGGCTCACTTAATTGACAAAATTTGCCTTTGGCCGATCGTCTTTAATAATACCTCGGTATTGCAACTTATTCCGTTTTATTATTGTATGTGTGTCTGGGCGATGCGATGGCTCGTCAAGGGAAATACTTTGCGCGGTTAATGTAACGTAAGATAGAAATCGATGGAATGAATAATTATTGTAATAAATCATCGTTTCATTTCATCGCGCGTGAACATCGGTTCACGGGCGATAAAACTTTCTCTAGCGACGCCTGAATTCGGAGATATCTCTCGATCGTTTTTCGTGTTAAGCTCACGAGATTGCCGCCTTCAAACTATACAATAATAATCCGCCGGAGATCAGAACTTGTTATATTTATCGAAATATAATATAACTCTTATAGAAATTTAATACTGGAAGTTATAGCGATTAATTGCTTAATTTGAGTATTAAATTGGATATCTGTGAAGGACCGCTATTATCAATTTCTCTTTATCAAATTTATTCTTTTTACTATCTTTCTTTTTGTTTCTTAAAAAAAGGTAGATTAGAATTTCGAAGATTCGCTCAAAACGCCGGAGTTTCCGATCGAAAGCCGGAAAGGTGACGAGCGTGGCTTAAAGCTCCCGTCGATTCAAATCGCAATTTGCGTCTTATCATTTTCGCGTCGAGAGGGAATTGACGTATACGAATTCTCGGATCGAAACGATTCGACGGAAAGCCACGCCGGGGACACGTCCGCGCTAATCGTTTATCAATATCCTAGATTCACGTGCCTGACACGTGTTATGCGAATTATACGCCGAATTCTGAGTGCGTATTTTTATTTTTTTCTCTTTTCATATATTCTCATTAGTCATCATTTAACTCATGTAGTGTCGTGCGAGTGATGACGTCAGCCGCCATTGTCGCGGTTCGCGCTTTTGCCCGCACTCCGCGTCCCGCGAGGCCGCCGACTGCACGAAGCGAACCGGTCGCGAAGCTTCGTAACGCGTTAAAATACCGTAAAAAATAATATTTAAAAGGAACGCGTTAAAATACCGTAAAAAATAATATTTAAAAGGAACTTTTTCTGTATAAATATATCTCTGTGATATAAAAATAAAATAAAGACAGAAGTATTTTTTGTAGTTACATAGTCATATTCTACTTTATTTAATAAAAAATTATTACTAATTATATTTATTTTTGCGCCAATTTAATCTAATCTTTCATAGCCTATCCATTCACATTTATTAATAATATAACATAATTGTATCGCTTAAAATATTTGAAATATTGTACATATGCGTGTGTATGTGTGAATTATTGTTTTTGTTATAATTCCTAAATAATTAGTAATCAAACAATTAGTAAGACACTTAAAATGACGTAAAATTTCGATAAAACTTCTCGTATTATTGCCATTAATAAACGTCCGAGTGCAAAGTTGAGATGTTTTTCTCTGTCAAGGTGAGCATGCGATACGACATATTGTGTGTGCCATTCTGTTGTCAACTTGCTTGCACGTATGTCCCCGAGGTGTTCTCAAGAAAGGATTTATGTCTCTGAACACGTCACTGACTTTATGAAGCTAGCATCATATCGCGGTAAGTCCTCCGTTATAATAAAAACTTTAAACTTTTAAATTTTGTGGCTGAAGCATCTTTGAAATTTTTATCCGTATGCATTATTTTGCATACTTAGTTAGATCTACTTCAATATGCCGAAAGGTCATTAATTTACAAGAAAAATCCATCAGAAGTAAATTGGTGCTAGCGCGCGCACAAAGTATGGTACAATTATTCAAAATTTTCGATTTTTGCAATTCTTAAAAAAAAAAAGTAGCAAAAAATTTTCTATCTATTTGTTTATAACACTGTACGTGTATTTTTCGAGAATACTAGCGTTAACGCTCATTTTTAATATTAATTTCCTACGAATAGGTAGGATATAATAAATTCGCGACTAGAGCAATCAATTAGCAATAAATGAGCACTTAATTATGGCCTACAGTTGAATTTCTTTTAGTGGTGGGTGTGCTAGGTTCACAGAGATCAATAATTTTTCAATCGGAGAAATAAAAATTGAAAAAATTATTAGTTTAACAATGGATTTACCAATGTATGATATTATTATAAATCTGTATACTCTCTTAAAAAAACTTGCCGCGGTTACCAGAGTTAAGAAAGATAAAATTCAATGAAATTTTTTTTTTTACTAAGAAAGAATGTATTTTAAATATGATAAAACTCTACAATTGAGAAAGAGAAGGAGCGAGCAACGTATATAAAACGCCTTATGTAATCAAATGTATCATTACTGCTTTAAATGCGCGATTTTGATGGCGCAAGTTTAAAATCTATAAAGATCGTAATTAC